TCTCTCTCTCTCTCTCTCTTCCTCCCTATCTCTTTCCCCCTCTTTCTTCCCCTCAACCACCACCAACCGTCTTAATATTAAGCGTAGTGGACTATGATATTAAGCCCGGAAATGTCACTGTGGCACAGCCAACCCCATCCATTTATATCAATGTTTATCAGTTTAGCCCCCTCAGCAGGTATAACTGCTCCTAGGGAAAGGAGGGACACGCATTCTCTGAGATGCTATCGTAAGATGGTTTATCAAAAACAACGGAACGTGTCATCTCTAGCCTAAATGCTGAGATAAAATTCTGTTCCGGGATTCTCCTATACCAGCTCCTGGCGATTAGAAGTGAAGATGTCAGCGTATGTGCATTTAAATATTTGCCTGTGTAAAGTAGGAACTGATTTTCATATATTATACGATTTTTCATTCATCTATGTTATAATAATTTATTTCATTTATTGGTTAATTCATTTCTTATGTCGATGTAACTGGTGATTTATTTTGTAATTTGATGTGGTTTTTATGCGTCTATTACCACACGTTTAATTCTCCATGCAGAAGTAGGTTTTCCTTTCTAAGTTTAGTTAAGTATGGGGTTTTACGCCGCTCACAACTTACTTTCTAAATAGCAGTTATGATTTAATAGAAGGCTGGAATGCCAAGCTTAATGCTAACTAGGTTACCGTTTTTGGCAAAAAGCTTTAATCTGCTTTTCATTCTAAAACTGGATTCAGATGGTTCGCCGTTCGGCTGTGTTATGTGTTGGTATAACACATCACCTACTCGTTAGTTTAGATGCAGTGTGAGATAGCGAAAAACAAATCGGAAATTTAAAAAAAAAATAACAGTTGCAAAGTAACAGGTGCATCTGAATCAGGAAAGAGAAGTGTGCTGTGCAGAATGTTGTGTCGACTGTTACTAGATATAAATTACAGCCCGATAATTCTTCGTGAGTCATAGACTGCGATTGTTGCTGCGTAAAATTGCTCATGGTGGGTGTGACTGATTGCAATGATGATGATGATAATGATGATGATGATGATAATGATGATGATAATAACAATAATACTAATAACAATACTATTACTACTACGACTTCTACTACTACTGCTACTACTGCTGCTGCTTTTACTACTACTACTACTACTACTACTACTACTACTACTACTACTACTACTACTACTACTACTACTACTACTACTACTACTACTACTACTACTACTACTACTACTACTACTACTACTACTACTACTACTACTACTACTACTACTACTACTACTACTACTGCTGCTGCTGCTGCTGCTGCTGCTGCTACTACTACTACTACTAACAATAATAATAATAATAACAATATTAATAATAATAATAATATTAATAGTAATGATAGTAATAATAATAACAGTGGTTGTGTCAGTTTCTTTGTCATGTTGTAACGATGCAGAGGGTACTATTTCTTTCGCGAAATAATTTATATTCAGTATAAGGGTTATGATTACTTTTGGCTTCAGACCATTATAGCCTTTGAGACCAATTCTTGCGTAAAAGAGTTTGCTACATCCTTAGCGTTTAAAAGCTTCATTGATTGTAAAAAACAACAACAACAACAACAACAACAACAAATAAACAAGCAAAAAACCTTCGATAAAATAAATTATGGCAAGCTGTTGAAAAACTTAGATTCTCGAATTTATTGAATAACTCCGACGCTACCAGTCTGGGGCTGAGAGAGACACAATTTCTCAGCTGGCAATACATGGGAAGGCTATTTATTACCCACACTGGAATCGAACGCACGTTTAGTGTGTACAGCGGTGAAGGGCCTAGCCGTTACACGACAGACGAAGGTCATCAAGAAAGTGTGTTTAAAAATTTGAAGATGGAAAGATAAAGAAGAGTTCCCCCCGATGGATTTATTAAATAAAAAAATTTTTAAAGTAAAATAATTCTTAATTTTTTGTGATTTGATAAAGGAAAACTACAACAATAACAACAACAACAATAACAACAGCATCAACAACAACAACAACAACAACAACAACAACAATAACAACAAGAGCAACAACAACAAACATACAATGCATTGCGCTTCCAGTTAAATATACTTTTACACGTATAATTTTCTTTTCTTCACAGAATGACGCCATGTTGACAGGGTTCCCCAGCGAAAGCTACAGAAGGATGGAAGTTATGGAGGACAGATGGAAGATGATGTACCACGAGGTAACAAATTAATCATCAATGAAACATATATCACGCCATTTGAGTCTGGAAGTTTATTATTGCTATTGAAAATAAGAAATAATACAATGACAATACTCTTGCAAGTATTAAGTATAAGTCCACAACCAATACAAATTAAGTAATACATATCAACTCATGTAACATGTATTGGTATAAAATCATAAAGACTTACACAGTAAGAGACGCAACAACACATAATGAAAGTACAGCGTATGTCCCAACTTTCGCAAATACATGGCAGAAGATATTCGGAGACGTCTCCGGCGAGCACCCAGGGACTATTCGGTGACGCACTCCCGCACACAGATGCACTGCTTTGGGGGTGGGGGAGGGGGTCAAACTGCGTATTATTTGCTGCAGATCACACATATAGCCACTAAAACATTTGCAACTCAGTTATTTTCAAGAAAATTTCAAACTTAACTGCAAAATATCAAATTACGGGTTAAAACAAGGCGGCAAGCCCCCCTGTAAACCCCACCCCAGAATTTTTTACTTGGTCTACAGGCACAAAACATTTTGATTGGTCTATTTCCGACGGATACTGCGCAACTACATCGAAAATACATCGTATGTCACAACCTACGAAGGGAGAAAGTCCTTGGCGGAGCACACTAAAGGAATTTGTTTTTTTTTTCTGGAGCACAAGGAGCTCCGTAAAATGGCGTCTTTACTGTGGATATACACAACAAGTCAAGAGACGAAACATGCGCGTTGTTTATCATGCGCATGGAGTGTCATACCTGACACAAGGGGCATAACAATTATTCAGAACATATCTCACC